AGGTCCAGAAATTAACATAGATAACATCATATACTTGCGCTTCATACATAGCCATGGAGGTAGGTTATAAATCATAATAATCACAAGCCATGTGGTATGTGAGATACTTTGAACACCATGCGTGTTCATTCCATCAGTAGATAATGTCAATCGAAGGTTTCTTGCTTCTCCTCCAAAATCAGGATAATCATTATCAATTCTCGACCACTGGTGAATTTGTCGGATGTTGAAACTTTCCATCAATAATTATTTCATCTGCATGCCAAGTCAAGTGTCTTGCATCGGTTTCACTATGAAACATGCGCCTAAATCTCAGAATTATAGGAAAATACCATAAGATTTTTGCTGGAGACAATTTTTTCTTATATCGAGATAAACCATATTTAGGGCACTCATTTAATGATGCATATTCGTTTCGAAACAAAATGCAATCATTTGGAAAAGCTGTATCTTATCATAGCTTATTTCAATAGAGCACAACATTTTTTTGGCCTCATAGGTTCGATTAAGAAGAACATTATCCTCCAGAAGCATATCTCTCATAATGGCTAATAACTATGTGAAACTTTTATCCGACCATCCATTTCCCGCCTTTAAGTTGTACAACTTTAATACCGCATACAGTCTTGTGAATTTAGTGCAACCTTTATACAACGATTTCTCGGCATTGCTTACCAACCTCTCAAACATTTTGGGACAATCCTGAAGATCTTCTTCAAGTGCTTCTGCAATCTCTTCGACTTGATCACAATCGTATGTATCTGTGTTATTGTCATCTGAAGCATATGTCATACTATCCCCCGGTTCAACATTCTCGTAACTTTTCTCACCATAGAATATCTAACATGTGTAACTTCGACCAATTCCATGCCTCAATAAATGCGATTGCAACCCAACTGCATCAACCCGACCCACAAAACAACAACTTAAGCAAAGACATTTCATTCGATTGGCGTCTTCGGCATGTTCAACAACAAACTTAATGAATTCCAATACCCCATTCTCATACTCTTTGGACAATCGATTGGTAGACATCCATTTTTTATCCATGGTCTTACTATTAAGTGAGCTAAACAAAAACAATACTTAAAAAAAGGACAAAGACTAAAAAGCTTAATACCAATTAGGCATATTCATCGAAAATAAAAATACTATAATTATTCAAGAAACTATAGCAAATTAAAAGAACAACTAAATACCTGTAGAGAAGTCATCAACTTCTGAAACTACACAGTGTAATATTCTTGGAAACGCTCAGAAACTCCACTCTTCACAAGTAACCTATATAAATGATCAATTAATTTCATTATAATAAAAAAACCTATACAATAAGAATTACATTAGAATATTTATACAACATTAAACATATATGTATACACCACTAAATAATCACTAATATTCTTTTTAACATATATTTTACTAATAAAACAACATTAAACAATCACTAATATTTATACACCATGCATCAAGAATATTTATATTATTGATGACTGTCAAAAATCATCACTAATATTTATACACCATCAAGAATATATATTGTCGTTTCTATTCTATATTATCACTAATATTTATATTATCGTTTCAACTTTACATTCATCAAATAATCACTTATATTATCAACTATATAAATTCTTTCAATTTCATTTTCAACTATATGTGAAGTGCTTTCAATTTCAACACTATAAGTGTTATTACGACAATCTCTCAAACCAAAATGTATAGCTCAATTAATTGTACAGGAACATATTTTCTCTCAATCAATACATGCAATATTCATTGTGACATTTACACAAACACCTTACATGCAAAACTCATTGTGACATTTTCACAAACACCTTACATGCAAAAACCACATGCCACACAAAACACAACATAATACAACATTATCAATACTAAATCAACACTATCAACTAAACCAAATGCAACATTATATATCAATATTATCAAATATATCAAAAATCATACCTAGAGAAGAAGAGAATCTTGGTTGTGAATGGAAGAAAGGATGAAACGGTCTTGAATGGAAGAAGGATGAGAACCTTGAAGAAAGGATGCAACGATTTTCGTCCAGAATCAAACGAAAAAAGCTCGGGAAAAATGGGTTCCTGTGTTCGTAACTGTGTTCGTGAAAATGAATTTTTGCAAAATAATAACGTTATTGTATAATAGTAATGCTGGACGTATTTTTTTTTATAACAAGACTTTAGGTAGTGCTTTGAAAAAGCGCCGCATAAGCCCACCCTTAGCCAACGCTTCTAGTAGAAACTGCTGCTTAATCCCTTCCTTCAGGCAACGCTTTAACAAAGCGCTTTGTAAGCCCACCCTTTAGACAACACTTCTCCAAAGCGCTACAATACATACCCCCTTTAGCAGCGCTTTATAAAACCACATTAACCCCCTTTAGGAAGCGCTTTCACAAAGCATTGCTTAAGTCCACCCTTTAGGCAGCGCTTCTAAAAAGCGCTTTGTAAGCCCACCCTTTAGACAGCGCTTCAATACCTACCCCCTTTAGCAGCGCTTTATTAAACCATATTCACCCCCTTAAGCAACACTTTTTTAGAAAGCGCTGTCTAATGTATACAACCAAATTCCCGTGTTTTTAAAATGGATTTTTAGCAGCGCTTTTGATAAGAAGCGCTGCTTTAGGTGTGCTGTCTAATCTTATTTTGGCGTAGTGATCATTCCGAACATTCATCCCAAAAGTGGGTTCATTGTAATAGATGGTGTCTACCTCAGTATAACCTAGATCTTTAAGTATTCCAACCAATTCAAAGTGACTCCACCTATCCACGTCTACTTTTAAATCATTGCGCTTCCCCCTTACAAACACAGTTTTTTCCAGAGTCCACAAAATTATCACTATGATGAATTTTCAAACAAATATATTCACCCATATCTACACAACATAAGAACATACAGAATTTTAAAATAGATTACAAAAAGGGTGAAACCCTAGATTTCTAAATCTAGATAACAAAAACTAAACCCAAATAAGAATACACATAATGATAATACGAAAATTAAATTCAGACAAAGACATTGCTAGAACTAACCTCGATTGAGACCTTCAACACCTTCGTCGTCTTCAATGTCTTCTTCGGTCCTGTGTTCCTCTTCACTCTGCTCTAGGGTTCCTCTTTCAATTTTTCTGAGAATGAGAAATGAAATGTGAAAGATGATTGTGTAATTTCTATTGTATCTATACCATCATGCCACCTAAGCAACAACTTACCACATCAACAAATTTTATGAGTTAAATTTAACGTTTTTTTCAAAAAAGATAAACGTGATACACTTTTGATAATGTAAGAGATTAAATTGGACGTTTTAAAAAAAAAAAACTAAAATGAACCTAGTGATACACTTAAGGGAAAAAAAGATATTAAACCTTTACTTACTCATTTATTATAATTGTGTTTATTGTGATTTTAAACTAGAGAAGTCACGTGGGACTTTAAATAATTATAGAGTGGTGGATGTATCAAAACTCATTTCAACAAATATGAAAAATTATAATTTAAAAAATTGCTGGTTTAAAAAAGTGACTCCCAATGCATTTCAAGAAGTCTTTGAATTCCACACACCTTTGATTTTTACATTATGTTGCGTGCGGAATTGAATTTTCATTTTAAAACTCAACTCTGTCGACAAACTTAGTCTCTATTTTCTCTAAAGCAATATATTTACCCGTGTAAGATTTATTCCAAAAAACATATCAATATAAAAATTTCATGCTTTTCATACAACCGATAAGAAAAAGCAATTTTTGTTCTGTCAACTTGATTAAAGAATCAAACATAAGAGAAAAATATATGCCTAAAATGTTCATAATAAGATGCTATCAAGCACTTTATATAAAATCAAATGCTTAGAATATCTATAACTATTAAGCATATGCATTAAAAGTGATTAACAGAAAGCTAAATTTATGGATTTTTTTTAATATTTCTTCTATTTCTAATAACAACAATAAAAGAACTGTCGGAGGAGTTACTAAGAGCATTAATACATAATGTAGGATTAGACATCTTTGTAAGAGACACACCATCCGTCATTCAATATATTTCTTTTGTCTTTCATCTCTCCTTTGTGCACCAACAAATGGTATCAAAATCTTTGGTTTGAGAAAGAGACCGGAAGAGACTTATATCGAAATACGTCCAGGAAGTGGTGTCTCGTTGCAAGATGTCAATGATGGTACAAGTGGGTGAGTATTGTGGATTCACACTTGAGGAAGAATGTTGGAATAATATAGCAAGTGTGAGTAAGTGGAGAAATAGTCCCACATTGAATAAGAATGTGAAGACTTAAACATATATAAATGGAAGAACCCATTCATCTATTATCTTAAAGTTTTAGATAGATAAGTGGGGTTTCTCTTACAAAAATATCATATTCTTTTCTAGCAATGTCCGTTTTTAAGTGAATTGGCTAGATAAGATATGACATGGCATCCATGACAATGATATAAACCTGTATGATGGCTGTATCTATATCATTTTCTTTCTGTTTCTCTTCAGGTTCACTTTCTTGATGCCTTTCACCTTTATTTATGCTATATTCTATACCAACATATAAACTCTTGACATTTATATACTAATAATAATTTGAAAAAAAAAATTAATTGAATATAATCAAATGTTATTTGTTTCCACACTTGACATCGACACTGTTAGGACACCAACACATCTTCAATCAAAATAGTTCAATCAAAATAGTTGGTATTATGGAGATTATTATTGTTACACTCCTCGGTGTCTAACACTTAAATTATCATATGTCAAATGCAAACATTCTTATCAAAATCTTTAGACTTGTATAGGTTATTATTGTTAGAAATTCCTTTCCCTTTTTTTCTACTATAGCACTTTCTTGAACATTCTAGTCTATTAATTCCAAAACCAGAAACCAGCCAACAATACAACTCCTTGGTTTTAAATCAAACACCATCTATAAAAAGGATATAATCAGTCTAAAATTATTATCAACATCAGTGAAAAATGGCAAAAACACACCAAGTTGGAGTAGCCATGGACTTCTCTCCTACCAGCAAACTAGCTCTTAGATGGGCTGTTGATAGTCTGATCAACAAAAATGATCACATCATCATGATCATTGTTCAACCTCTCTCAGCTGATCACACCAGAAAAGAGCTTTTTGAAAACAATGGTTCACGTAAGTGTCCTTTTTTTCATTCTCTTTCTTTTAAATCACATGTACCTCTTTCTTGCATCACAATCTATAACATCTTTTTTTGTGTTTTATTTTTTTTACAACTTAACAGCTTTGGTGCCACTAGAGGAATTGAGGGAAATAAACTTTACCAAGCAATATGGGATTGCCAAGGATGTTGAAGTCATAGATATCCTTGAAACTGCCTCCAAAACCAAAGGGGTATTTATGTAATTGAATATAATCACATACGTCGATGTTGATATCGATATCGCGTATCGGGCTTTGCTTTTAATTTGAAGTATTGATTTTTTTGAATCAGGCAAAGGTAGTTGCAAAGGTGTACTGGGGAGATCCAAGGGAGAAACTGTGTAGTGCTGTGGGAGATCTTCATTTGGACTCATTGGTTGTTGGAAGCAGGGGTTTAGGTACCATTAAAAGGTACTCAAATTTATCTTTCAATCAAATTAATTTGAATTTTTTAAGAGAATTTTTGTGTTTAATTTGATTCAGAAGATTATTTAAACATTGGACTTTTCTTCTTCTTTTTCAGTGTGTTGTTAGGAAGTGTTAGCAAGCATGTGGTTACACATGCTTCTTGCCCAGTCACTGTGGTTAAGGGAACGCAACCTTCAAAGTCTAGGAATTGATATTATTAATATTTACTTTAGGTTTATATACATATGAAAATAATAAATTACTTAAAGTATTGTATTGTACCCTTTGAATAGATTTGGCTAGCTTGAATAATTGCTTTTTTGGCATGTTTTGTGTGTAAGTAAAACATAAATTTGAGTAGTATTAGTAATCATCTTTACAATTGATCTCTTAGTTACATCTCATGTTGATAGTTATTTGCCCTATATATTATGGATGAGAGACTTTTTTCAATAAAATAATTAAAAATTCATATTAAAACCAATTTTATATATATCACTAGAATTAATTGTATTTCATCTAAAAGTGGAACCGATACACTAACATTTTAGATGAAACATTTTGGTCGACGACACCTTTGGTTAGTTAAATTATGGATTATTTTCAAGTTTTCAAGACTTCAATCATTTTTTAGGGTTTCTTGGAAAATCTCACCTCCTTCACATTATTATCTAAGATATTAAAAATGTCTATTAAGATTTAGAAGAGGATTTTTAAAATTTAAACAAGGCTTATGTGGAGCCACACGACTACGACTATGAAAGAGGAAAGTAAGGAAGGACCACTCTCAAGCTCATCATGGATGCATGCAACATAAAAGTTAAAATTTTTTGTTAAAGCAATTTACATCAAGTTAAAATTTTCAAATGGAAAAATAACCAACATAAAAGTTGTAGAGTACATCTTGAGCTTTTGAAAAAGTCTAAGTTCACCTTCATATGCCAACACATGAGCAAGTTATAAGTGGCACAAGTTGAATAATTTTGTGAAATTGCATGAAACCTCAATTGAGCAATTTTGGGATTTTTGACTAATGGGCCTAATTTTTGAAGGTAAAACATGTTCATGACATATTAGAGGACCCCCAAAACCATTCATTTATTTATTATGATTTTTATTTCTTTTATTTGAATTTTTATCCATTTAAATGCAAATTAAATCAAATAAATAGTAAGTGGAAGTATAAGGCATGAAAGGCTTTTGATTTAAATCTTTTGGAGGCTCAAGATCACATTGACAACCGTGTGAACCTATTTTTGCATCAAATCTCCATGCTTTTGTCTTATTCCAACCTATTTTCAAACAAAATCAAAAGGTTGTTTTACAAGAGGTCTAAGCCCATGCGTTGACCTAATCTTTTCTCTTATAAATACTCTTCACATTCAGACAAGGAAGACACGAAGAAAAAGTCTCAAGAACACTCTCTCAAAATATCAACTTTTGTAAAAATTAGGGAAAACTTGCAATCCTAGTTCCAACCATCTTCAAGGACAAGCAACCATTCAAATCGATTCCAGGGATATTATAGAGTAAGTTGGGGTCATTCTTGATGATCAAAAGTGCATGAAACATGCCCTATATGCATCGCCAGTTTCATGTTTTTTTTTCTTCCAAATTCATATTTTATTTTCTATGCTATTTTGATTGAAACTAACCATGCTAGCGTGTTCTTGAGACAAAATAATGCAGGTCTGAACCCTTGCATGAATCCCATAACGCATAGATAACCTAGCACCATGATTGAACCAATTTACAACATTTTCTTCATATCTCATTATGAAGAACGATTTAGCCAAAACTAAGGCCACCAATGGATTCACAAGGGTCAATTTATAAGGGTAGGGTCCTTCTTGTGCATTGACGTGCGCTTATTTTGGTAGGTTCAAAAAGAAGCTCGCCGGAGAGGAAGACCGGAGCTAGGGCTCCGACGCCTCTCTGATCCATCTATTTTTGTTGATATTATATTTATTTGTTGCCATTGCATAACCAGATGAAACATCCATCCAATGGCAAGAACGCGCGTGGTAAGGCTTTGGTCTATAAAGGCATGGGTTCGATCCTTGTCTCTTGCATATTTTTTGCTATTTTCCAATTTGTGCAGGTTTCATATATTTTGTGGAGCGCCTGCTTCCTAACACCAACGAGTGCTTGACTCAGTGGCAAATGATGTAGTGTGGAAGGCTATAGGGTGTGGGTTCAACATCCACCCCAGACATTTTTCCTTCTTTTTTGGTTTTTACCTTATTTCATTGATTTTTCTTTCCCTAATCCTAATTTGTTTTTTAATAAACCATTAAACTAACATTTTCCTAATACTCACAAATTAGGTTTAGATTTTTAATTAACATTTAATTATCTTATTTAATTAATTAATTATTTAATCCTTTTTTTCCTTAAAATTAAAACTAATTAGACTTTAGATATTTTTATTAATTAAAATTAATTAGACTTACGGTTTTAATTATTTAATTAACTTCAAATTATTTTCTACAAAAACACATAAACAAATTATTTTCTTATTTTTTTTTCGCTATTTATTTTCTTAGAGAAATTGTATAGGTCACACAGTTTTTTTTTTGTAATAGCTTAGATTTATCTTTCCGCATCTTTTTCTATTATGTAACTGCTCACAAGATGTAATAGTTTAGGTTTAAATTTCACACTTTACTTTCCCATATTTTTATGTAACTTCCCCAAAGCCCTGTAATAGCTTAGGTCTTTATTTCCCGCACCTTTATTTTTCTGCTATATTTTTACTGCTAGTAACTAGGTATGTATGGCAAAATCTAAAAACAATTGTTAGAAAACCATAATATAAGATAAATAACTGAACTGAACATACTATTCACACTTGCACCTCTAGGATCACCTCTCTTCGTTGCCTTCATAAATAATGGTCATGTCCCTCAAAAGTAGGAATACTTTAGCAAAGACCCTCGAATAAAGATCATAGTCCCTCAATGACCCTTCGACGTTGCCTATGAAAGATGATCTAGTCCCTCTAATAAATTGATAAAGTATCTATATATAATGCCTTCGATGACCATACGATGACCCTTCGCCTGTCCCTTCACATCCAATAGATATGGCTACCTACCAACTAATGGCATGGATAACACTACCTCTAAAGGAGAAGGAAAAGAATAAGAATGACCTTGGGTGGGTAAGAACTCTTAATCACTTGCTCATAATCTTTTCTAAAAAACATTTTTTACACATCACACTTTCAAAATGTTTTCAAAAACACTTTGTACTCGTTCTTGAGGACTGATACAAGAATCATTACAAAGTTAGTCGTACTTTGGCTTTTCAAAATACTTTCAAATCACACACACAAAGCAATTTCAAAAGTGAGCTAGAGATTAAGAGCCCGTAGATAACTATGGATGAAAAGGGTGCTAACACCTTCCCTTTTTATAACTTACTCCCCAAACTCAAAATCTATCAAGGTCTTTCCTGTTCTTTTCAGCCTTTTCTTATATTGGATAAAAGAAAAGTCAGTGGCGACTCTTGCTATCCGCATATTTGGATAAAACCAAAAAATTCAATTCTTCCACCGTACTACCGAACTGGTGACTCTGCTGTGGACTAACTTAAAAAAGAGGGGCTACCTTAGGGTTAGATCACTTTATTTGCTTTAATTGATTGTTTTGCTTGCTTTACTTTAAGGGTTTCTGCTTGGGTTTATTATTGCTTGTAAGATCCTACACTCGAATCTAGGGATGCCTTAGGTAAGTAACAATAGATCATGAAAAATGTACGACATAGACCGATATGATTGAAGTGATGGCTAGGTTAGTGCGACACTTTGGATTGTACTAATGTTCCTTGAGTCAGTCGAGGATAACATTAGGCTTCCGTGTGGTGTCATTAGTATTAACTAACTTTTAGAACCTTAATTGGCCCATCTTGGCCATTAGAAGGTAGTGAGATGGCCGATTTTGGTGCAGTCCAAGGTTGGTTGATACTCGATGCTACGCTCATTGAGATTCAACTCGCAGGATGTTTTGGTGGAAAATCAGTTGATGTACTAAAATAAAACCTTCGAGAAAGATTCGTGATATGAGATTCCTAGAACCCGGTTACTATTTTAGGACAGGTTGAGCCAACTTAACTTCAATAGAGAAGGGTACTCATCTCTGGACCTCATGCAATACTTTAAACCTAAGGCCCTTGTGTGATTTGTGTGTGTTTGCTACCTGTTTAAACATGAACATAACATCACGATATCATAACATCATGACATGGAATTTTTACTAACCATTTCAAGGATCTTAGGGACCTTTGGTGCACGATTATTATAAGCCAAATTGCAAGCAAGGGGCAAGAGGATTTATTTTTCTCTAACCAGATGCCACCAAAGATCAAAGTAAGTTCTCTTGAGTCAGAGGCTAGAACCCACTTGATATGGTGAGCTTGATTATGATAGAAGGACGTCCAAAGATGAAAACTTGAAAACATTACATATACATCTACATGTCATGCATATAATAACTGGTATTCTCAAGAAAGGTTTTCTTATCTTCTTGCTGTTTATTACAAACAGAAAAATGGATCTTGAACAAACAGTCAAAGACCTCCAAGCTCAAAATTCCCAATTCCAACAGATGTTGCTGAACTTAGCCAAGGGACAGGAAGAATTGAAAGTACTTGTCACCAGTGAGAAAAATAAGAAGACAAAGAAACCAATTGGCATTCTTAACATGGGAAGAAGGTTTAAATGTCCCGTCAAGCAAGCTCGAGATCTTAACATCCCATCCGATGAAGATGACAAACATGATGAAGATGGTAAGAGTGTGAAAACTAAAAGAAGCAGTCCTGGTTCTGACACATTTCCTTATAAAGAGGAAGATGATTATTTGGATGAGCAATATCCCCCTGCTGATGAGAGGTATAAGCTAATGGAAGAGTTTCTGAGAGCTATGGAGATCCAGAAAGTGCCTGGATTGAACTCTTATGATTTAGGGATGGTTTCAGGAGTTGTCATTCCTCCTAAATTCAAAACTCCTGTCTTTTCTAAGTATGATGGCATTTCTTGCCCGAAGCTGCATTTGAGATCTTATGTTCGGAAAATTCAACCACATACTACTGACAAGAAATTGTGGTTGCATTTCTTTCAAGAGAGTATGTCTGGAAACAATTGAATGGTACTATCAACTTGAAGGTGCCAATATTCACACTTGGGAAGATTTGGCTTTCGCCTTCTACAAAT